GGAACTCGACCCGCAAACCGAATCTTAAATTTTTTCAAAATTTAGGACTAACTTTCAAAATTCTTTATAAATTTAGGACTCCGACTTATGGTCCACTTTCAAGTACTGTTAACTGTTCCACCTCCGTTGCAGGATATAAAATATAACAAAAGTGAAGCATGAAAGAGACAGATTTAGGTAATGCTAAAAGATCACGGAAGTTCCGGTTATTGTACTAAATCTAGGCTTAATTTGCAGTACTGTCAACTGTAATAAGTTTCGCGATAAACAGTAAACCAAGAATTGAGTCATTAGATCATGAAATTTCACTTACTTCAGGATAATTTTGCATTTCCTTCCTTGTAATTTTACTAGACAACGGTAATGAGCAAATATTATTTATGACAAAAAAAAAAGATGAAAACACAGTGCCTGAAAAGAGCGAGCAAACGGCAGAAATTGTCGGTCAATCAAACATAATGGATTTGAAATTCGAAAAAAAGAACCTGTACTTTTCCAAAAAAAAAATCCTAACGAGTGGAGATTTTTTTTTCCTAAAAGATGTCAGCTTTCCATCGCAATCATGATTCTTTGGATATGTGCCCATGAATGTTTTGAAGTGTTTAAGGAAAAAGAAAGGAAAATTTTGTGTACTTATGTAGGTCAAAAACACCCTAATACAAAAATGATTTTGAAATGAGTCAGAGCGAGAACGACTTTTTACTCCTAGTGAGGACTTTAAGTGAAGATACTCAGAATTAACTGGAAAAATAAAAAATGCACAGAATACTAAATCATCATGTAACTTATTTTACAACCCCAAACAATTAGAAAAAGCTTCGCTCCCCAGAACCAATGGCCCAGCTATATCGAACGAAAGCAACTAGGTTTTTTGCTATTCGCTTGCTCCATTGCTTCTCTTTCCACTGAGGGATAAAAAATTACTGAGCAACATATCAGGTTATGCATAATGAATTAATTTTCTTCAAAAAATTATGACTGAAAAAAGGAAAGAAGCACATTAGTGTAAAAGAAAATATAGAAAAATTTTTCAGAAACTGAAAAGAAATGTTTCGGTTTATATGAAGGAACAACATATGCAGAAGAGGAATATAGATTGCCGATTTTGAAAAATAATTTTTTTTTGCGAAAATTTGATTTCAGTCACTTGCGATGCTGAAATTTTTTCAGCGACCGAAGCATCGCCTGTGGACAGTACTTTTCTGGAAGAGATAAGTAATGCTAACATAACTACAAGCGGCAGCAATAGCCATAGCATCACGCTAAGTCCCGTCGTCTACTTACTGATTAATTTGAGCAACACAGAGAATGAGCTGCTGGAGAGGTACCTGCGCGAGAAGAATTACGCTTCTCTCAAAGAACTGATCGATCAGAAGAAAGCCGAAGTAAGCTTTGCTTTCATAAAAGACACACACACACACATGCAAAAACTGATTCAAAAATTTACTCGCTAGAGTATGCATAAAAGTACTGGAAGTACGACAGTACTATAAAACAAAAATGCAAAAAAAAAGAACTTAGAGCTTCAAAATTACAGTTCCTCCAAATCAGCAACAAGCCAATAGGAAGCAGTGCAGCAAAGGAAGCTGCAGAAGACTTCGAGACTGATGCCTTCCTTGAAACGCCGTCTGTGCCACTGAATTTCACTCAAGAGCAATTCGAATATGCCCAAGCGTACCACGTAAGTGTTAAAAAATCTTAATTTTTATATTTCCATTTTCTTAAGACTTAAACATTTTTGCGTGATGGCGCTAAATCGTAATGCAGATGTTCAAATACAAATCATATTCTTCATTTTCGAACACATATTCGCATACAAAACAAACAGAAATACACAAACAAACACAAAAACACACACACGCAAACACACTTGCAAACAAACAGACACATACAGTACACAAACACAGGCACGCAAATACCATGCACAAACACAGACACATACACACACACACACACACAAACTTATATATACTGTTACATTCATACTGTGTAACAGATATTGACGTTAGATTGCACTTTTATCTCAACGCAACACAGACACACGCTTGACCACCTTTTTAGCTAATTTTCGCCTTACTGAATTTAGCATTTCGCAGGTTTTACCACTTTTGGGCTAGAATTCAACTAAAGGAAACGGAGTCAAAACGTAAATCCCTTCGGAAACAGTTTGCAGCACAAGGAAACCTGAGGCTCCTGCGGCAAAGCAGAGACCACTGGGTCAATGAAGCGACCCCAACGATGAAAGACGTCCATAGTTTTTGGAACAATTTAGTCGGAACAAAGTTCGCCTCCGGTCCTGGACGCGTCCCGGCGCTCAATCAGTGGAGAGAGAAAATGCAACGCGCGTACCCGGCTAGGGAGGGTGTAGAATCGGACCTGCTGAGGAGCTCGTTTAACTGGATTATCAAACGTGCAAAACCCTGGAAAGCCCCGAGTCCCGACGGGATTTAGACTTTCTCGTGGAAGAAGTTACCCTCAGCGGGAGCCCGGCTGCGGGAATATATCATCCAAACGCTAGACATCACCCAGGTTCCCGGGCCTTGCTTTTGTAGGGGCTGGGCAGTTCTGCTCTATAAGTCCGGCGATAGAACAGATCCCCAGAACTATCGGCCCATAACATGCCCCAATAGTTGTTATAAAATTTTAACAGGGTTAGTATATAAGACTCTCATGGCATATTTCCGCACCGGCCCAGCGGTGCAGGGCAACCAGAGAGCCACTTTTTTTGGGTCACCGAGCCCGAGATACGTAACTATGCACAGGTTTATGAAGAGATAAACTAACAAAGATATACAAGTACACTGATAAACAATCTTC